TTTGATGTTTTTTAAAAAGATTTCCCATAATTGATAGTGACACTAAGCACATTATGCTTTTGAGACATATGGTTGACATTGTGATAGCTTGTTGCATATTACACAATTATTTGATGGGTTTTGACCTTGATGAGAATCTAATAGCTCAAGTTGATTATGAACTGTTAGCAATCATGGTATGAATAATCATTTGCTCTAATCAAGGTAGCTCATATGTGGCATAACTACTTAACCCATACAATCATGGATTGTGATTTAAACCATTGCTTGGGATGTTGCCTTGTATTATTTGAAAATATCTATTTCACTGTATTAGTTTAAAGTGTATGTGGCCTTGCATTAGTTGAAGTACAATGATATTTTTTTTATAAATTAAAAATTTGAACAATTGCTTACTACATGATTATAATATTGCTTGCTTTTTAAATAATGTATGCATAATTTTTATGTAGATTGAACATGGCACAAAAAAAAAAAAAGGAAAGAATCAATGAAGGACAATGTGCGTTGGATTCCTGAAATGAATGAAAAATCCATTGATGCCTTATTGGAAGAGACAATGAAAAAACAACATTTACATGTAATAACATAGTGAAGACTCTTAATAGTTTCTTTGGGTCTCACATTACAAAATAATATTTAAAAAATAGAAAAAAGACATTATCACAACGATTTGCAAATCTTTATGATTTGTTTAACGGATTGAGTGGATTCTTATGGAGTCTTCTCACAAAATTGTTTGAAGCATATAATCAATTTAGAATGATTTGATCGAGGTTAGATTACATATAATTTATTATTTATGTTATGAAATGAATATTTGGATGATTTGATTAAGGTAAGTAGTCTATTTATGAAGCCATATCTTCTTTCGTGTTTGTAGAAAAAGCCAAATGCAAGAAAGTGGAAGAATCACTTGTACAACATTATGAAACGTTGTATGAGCTATTCAGTACAAATAGGGCAATAGAAAATATACTAAAAGGTTAAGGAAAGGGTTGCCTTAAGGGAGCAAGAGGGCAATTAATTAAATAACTCTATTATAGATGCAACTAATTGTAATTATCAACACAAGTCACCAAATTCACCATTAATTTAGTACGAGTACAGCCTAACATATGGGGCATTGGTAGGAACTACATTAGGTAGAGGATAAAAGCGTAAGGCTTTAATCGTTAAAGCTATTGAAGAAAGGTGTGAAAAAATGACAACAGGAATAATGAAATTAATTGATGTCATACGAGATGGAAATGATGTTGCTAAGAGGCAAGTTTAAGCTGCTAAGAAGCCAGCTCAAGTTGTTAAGAAGTGTCTTTCAATATTTGAAAAGAGTAGGCCTCATCATTATAATGAAGAGGAAGTGTGGGCTGTAATTGAGGAGATCGGAGTACTTGAAGAGAACAAAGAAAAATACTTACTTCTTTTTATGTGATGATGAGAAATGCAAGAAAACTTTCTTTAGGGTTTCATGACATAGGTGATTATAAACATTGTCAATATGATGACCAGAGTTGAAGTTCAATGAAAGAAGTATAGACAGGGGGTTGGACTTTTTTTATTTATAGACAGTAGTACTTTTAGTTTATGGTGACATGTTGGCCTTTTTTGCTTAGAAAACATATATATTATATCATGCTTTTTAGACATGTTAGTCTTTTTTGTTTAGTAAACAGATATTCTGTCATAATGCTTATGATGTATTAACAAATTGACCATAGTATTTATAATATCTCATTATCAATATGTTGGAGATTTTATTTTTATAAGTACCATGTTTTTATTTTATCAGTGCCCATTTTTTATTTTAAAATGTGAAAGTACTTTTTTTATTAAATTATTTGATTTTAAGTATAATTTAAAAAATACATTTTAACAAATAATTTGATTTTAAATTAATTTGATTATGTTAATTTTAATATGATTTTAGCTTTCAATTTATTTTTACAAATATAATTACATAAATATGATATATTTTGACACAAGAACATTATAGTTATTACGATATATGTTCATTTTATTTTTTTCCTTATTTTCTCCTATCCATCCAACAGGATGAGTGATAATATTTTCTTTTAGTTTTTTCTTTTTTTTTTTATTTTATTTCTTCTCAACTTTTCTATCTCTCCAAACAGAAGGTAAGGGTAAAATTGTTTTAATAAAAACATAGTGTGTCGGGACTCTTTAAGAAATACTTCAAGCACAAAAATGTACTTTTATCCAAACAAAATGCAATTGGTGTTGCTTCAGCCTGAAAAAGGCTTTGCCAAAAAAACAAAAACCCTTGAAGAAGAGAGCTTTGGAGTGCTTCATATATGTAAGATAGGATAGGAAGTAAAGAGAAAAAATGACTCAATAAACTACCGACCCATCATTCGTAAATCATTAAAGACTTGTTTGATTAGAGAGAAGGGGAGAAAAATTTTATCTACTTTACCAAGCAAGGAGAAGAGAGCCCTCTCCTTATTTGATAAAGTGGAGGGATTTAAAATTTCCTCTTTTTCTTTCCAAAACCTTTCCCTAAATTAAAAGATTTTCTCTCCCTTCTCCTTCTGTGTCCCTAGAAGAAAAGGGGAGAGAGAAAAAATTTTTTTTTTTTTAAATTTTCTTTACTCAACTTTATCAAATAAGGGAAGAGAAGGGAAGAATCCCCCCCCCCCCCCCTTAATGGTCATTTGCTCCATCGAATATCAAGAACTCACGAGAACGGCAAAGGTCATTTACTGGTTGGGACTGCCTGGAATTAAATTCATATTTCGATCTCGAATTGTGATTCTCTGTCATTCTTTCAGTCGCTTTTCTCAGCGACCCCATTCTAATGCATTTGCACTGGGCCTCCAAAGTATCTCTCATTTCCACCTTACCCCAATTCCGGTTCATATTTTGATCTCAAACCGTGATTCTCTCTAGTTGTTTCAGTCGCTTTTCTTCGTCTGCGGGTCATACCTGCCATAATCGTCTCCGACATCGCTGGTCGAACTACCGGCCATTCGCAATGCAATGCGCCATGGAAGATCCCCGACAACAATATCTAAACAACTCGGAGACTTGCTCCTGGTGGCTTCTATCACAAAAACTCTGTCCGAGTCCGGAACTCGGAACCCTTGCCCTCGACCCAGCTCACACGTCTCAACTCACTGAGCCTATTCTCCTCCGAATCCTCTCAAATCCATCACTTCACCCTTCAAAGAAACTTGATTTCTTCCACTGGTGTCGTTCGCTCCGACCCGTGTATGCGCACTCCGCCGCCGCCTATTCTCACATCTTCCGCACCGTTTGCCGCGCCGGCTACCTTAACGAGGTACCAATTCTCTCCGCTCGATGAAGGAAGACGGCGTCGTTGCTGATTCTCAGGCGTTCAAGGTTCTCCTTGATTCTTTCATTCGGTTGGGTAAGTTCGATTCGGCGCTGGAAATTTTAGATTGCATGGAAGAACTAGGGGCTACCTTGAATCCCCGAATCTTGAACTCTGTTCTTATTGCTTTGGTAAGAAATAACCAGCTGCGTTTGGCTCTGTTTATATTTTTTAAGCTTCTGGATGCTGAATCCAATGGTGGTGGTGATGTTGGTTCTGCCCCTAGCTCCAATGCATGTAATGAATTGCTAGCTGCTCTTAGAAAAGCAGACATGAAGGAAGAATTAAAAAAAGTTTTTGAAAGACTGAGGAAAAAGGAAAAGTTTAAATTTGATATCTGGTGTTATAATATTTGTATTTATGCTTTTGGATGTTGGGGTGATCTCAGTACTTCTTTAAGCCTCTTCAAAGAGATGAGGGGAAGAGAATCTGATGCATCTGGGAGTTCAGTTGGGCCTGATTTGTGCACCTATAATAGTTTGATCAGCGTGCTCTGCAAAGTTGGAAAGGTCAATGATGCACTCAAAGTATGGGAGGACCTTAAAGGATCTGGTCATGAACCTGATGAATTCACTTACAGAATCCTTATCCAAGGTTGTTCCAAGACTTATAGAATAGATTATGCAGCTAAGATCTTTTACGAAATGCTGAATAATGGATTTCAAATGGATACAGTTGTTTATAATTCTCTTCTAATGGACTTTTGAAGGCCAGAAAAGTAACAGAAGCTTGCCAGCTTTTCGAGAAAATGGTTGAAGATGGAGTAAAAGCCTCATGCTGGACATATAATATTTTGATAGATGGATTACTTAAGAATGGAAGGCCAGAGGCTGCTTATACTTTATTTTGTGACCTGAAAAAGAAAGGTCAATTTGTTGATCGAATTACATACAGCATCATTGTGCTGCAACTTTGCAAGGAGGGTCTACTTGAGGAGGCACTCCAACTGGTGGAGGAAATGGAAGCAGAGGTTTTTTATTGTTGACCTAGTTACCATAACTTCACTCTTGATTGGCGTCCATAAACATGGCCGTTGGGATTGGACAGACCGGCTTCTAAAGCATGTAAAAGAGGGTGACCTGGTCTACAATGTTCTCAAGTGGAAAGCGGGAATGGAGGCTTACATGAAGAGCCATAAGAGTAAGAAAAAGGATTATACTCCATTGTTCCCTTCCAAAGGAGATTTTGAGGAGGCGATGAACCTTATAACTTCTGATGATATCAACCTTGATTCAGACGGTGCTACAACTAAAGATGAGGGGTTGATTTTATCCTTTGAAACTGATGAGTGGTCTTCATCACCATACATGGATAGATTGGCCAAGCAAGTAAAGTCTGATGGCCATTCTCCTCAACTGTTTTCCCCTACTCCAGCACGACGAGTTCAAGAAAAAATTTCACATTCCTTTGATATTGATATGGTAAATACTTTCTTGTCCATATTTTTGGCTAAGGGGAAATTGAACTTGGCTTGCAGGCTGTTTGAGATTTTCACTGACATGGGGGTGAATCCTGTGAGTTACACATATAACTCTATAATGAGCTCATTTGTGAAAAAGGGCTACTTCACTGAGGCTTGGGCTGTTCTCAGTGAAATGGGGGAAAAGGTTTGCCCGGCTGACATAGCAACCTACAATGTGATAATTCAAGGTTTAGGAAAAATGGGAAGAGCAGACCTAGCCAGCTCTGTTCTTGACAGACTACTGAAGCAGGGTGGTTATCTTGACATTGTTATGTATAACACCCTCATTAATGCGCTGGGGAAAGCAGGCCGTATTGATGAAGTGAACAAACTCTTTGAGCAAATGAAGAATAGTGGGATAAATCCTGACGTTGTGACTTACAATACATTAATTGAAGTTCACAGCAAGGCAGGTCGATTGAAGGATGCTTATAAGTTCTTAAGAATGATGCTGGATGCTGGATGCACGCCCAACCACGTTACGGACACAACTTTAGATTTTCTGGGGAAGGAGATTGATAAATTGAGATACCAAAAGGCCTCAATTTTGAGTGAAAAAGATGATCCTTCTTGAGGGTATGAAGCCTCGGGTAACTGACTACGTGTATGTTTGATTTTTAGTTTACATCTAGCAAATGTTTATTTAAAAGGTCTAATTATTTATTAGATTTGATAAAGTGCATCCTAACTATAGTTTAAATGTGTTTTTGAGAGTTACTCAACTAGAACTTTAGAGAGAGATTTTTAAAGTTTTTTTGTAGTGGAGTTTTGCTCTGCAATTGTATTGTGTCATTTCCTCTAATCATAGATAGGATACTTTATTGCCGTGAAATGGTAGCTTTAAGGATTGGTGGCGTCAGAGATTGAGCACCAGTGGCATAATAAAACTCGGCTTCCTTAGGGAGATTATAAAATGACTAAATGAGGGTATTTGTTAATTGTTATGCAACTCTATCATCGATATATCAAAATCCAGTACAGCATTTTTTTTTTGTCAAAACTAGGATTAACGGACAATATTCTATAAAAAAAGGTATGGGGTGTGAATTGCATGGAATTACAGTGAAAATCCTTTTTTCAAACTAATGAACCAACACTTTGGTTTATTCTTTAGCACCCTCCGTTGCTGCATCACAAGACGTATACCGAACAGGTTCTATGGATCAAATTTATCACAAAACAGCTCACGACACCTTCCTCCTCAAGCTCCCTTTAGTCTGCTTCACTTTTGAACTCTGAAGAATCGACGTTTTAATTTTTCCTAGCTGTTAAAATCACAATTAGCAGAAGAAATAACGAGTCAGAAGACATAATGTATAATGGAAATCAAGAACAAATCAAGGAACAGAAGACAAAACTAGACTTGCCCAAACACGCAGAACTGTCTGGACACTCATTATGCGTGCTATTAACACATTCTTTCTCTGATATTATTTATAAATCATTTTTTAACTATCTAATTAAAACTAAGGAGAGATGGTGAAATTATTAATGTTGTCTAACAAAGAAATTTTTTTCAATTTACCCTTACTAAATAAAGTATTTTTAAAAACACTTTCTTTCTCCTACAACTAATTACTCTCTACTCATCGAAAATGGTGAAAGAGTAAAATTAAAAAAAGTAATTAATGATTCATTTTTTCTGTAAAATGACTTATAAAAAGAATCATAAATTGTTTCTATAAAGTGACTAATATATAAGATTGGAGGAAGTATTTGTCTAAACTCAATTACCTCTTGTATATAGATTAGCTATACGGAAAAGTACTCACAAAATTGTAATTAGAGTTGATACATGGCTTTTCTTCTGAAAAGCACTAATGTAAAGTTTCTTGGAAATTTCCAACACAGTTTACTTCTATGAGTTACTTGTGAGGTAGATTGCCTGAGAAAATTCCAAGTCGATGGTGGTTGCTATATTATTCTCTTAAATACAACAATTCTATCTATATTTTTGCCTTTCTACAACCTTTACAAATAATTTTCGTCTGTACTGTTCTTCTCATATTTTAAAATTTAAGAAAATCCTCATTCCTTTAAGTTCAAGTTTAATCTGCTATACCATTGTAACATGTCTCTACATTCACACCATATTGTAAAATCTATTTCAATTTCCTGGTTTTCTTGCGAGGCTTTTAGCTAACATATTGATCCAAAATTCTTTCGTACTTCTGCTTTCCAATATTATCAGGTTCATGTATACTCAACAAAACTTTGCCCCTAATTTACATGTATTCTAACGACAATCCCTGAAAACATATATGTTTATTCATTTTCCGTTTCTACTTTATAACAAAGCTCTACTTATCAAGGTTTAGTGGTTTACAAATTCACCAGCTTTTCTAGTTCTTACTTTTCTACTGCATAATTTTTCAATGAATATGCAAAGAACGAAGAAGAAAGAAATGACATCTTTTATATTCAGTAGCATTTCTTGATAAATATTTCTAGAGATAGATCCCTTGTTTTTCAGCCTTCACTATAAGTTAAGAGCAAGAAGAAAGTGCACTATTGCATACCATGAAAGCTCTTGCTCCATAGGACCTGGCCATCGATGCCAGTGAGACGCTCATCATCAAGGCGTTTCCACGTTTTAATCGACTTGACATCTCGCCACGTTCCCTTCACTGTTTTCTCCAAGCTAGCTACCACTACTCTTGCTCTCCTAGACCACCCAGCCTTTCCATAAGCATGATATCCAAATCCCCCACCATAACAAAGATGAGTACCTGTTAGCTTGCCGCAGAAGTCATTGATGTGATCATGACCAGTGAAAACCGCCTTCACATCTCCGGCTTCAACTAACGTCGTAAAGAAGCCGGAGTTCACAGATGCAGAGCTAATGCCTTCCTGCTTTACACCTGTAAAGTTTGATGAGTCAAAAAAAGCATATTCTGGTAATGGGATGTGGAAGTATGCGAGACCAGGAGCAGGTGCTTTCTGAGGCACTGGTTTATCCATGTAGGCTCTCTGCGGAACAAAGAGGAAAATGGTTAATCAAAAGATTACAATCCAAGGTTAAGTTTTGAAGAATTAGCAAAGAGTTAGTGATACAAAGACTTTTATAATAAGCTTTTCAATTAGGTTCTTGACTTCGGCACCAGAGTTCAGTAAAGGTTTTGAATAAAGCAGTTCAGAGTATTGGCTACTTTAGCATTTCTAATAGTTATTGATATTAATAAACCTAATTATTGAGTTGTTTTTAGAGCGTTCATTGATATTAATAAATCTATTTATCGAGTTCTTTTTAGAGTGTTCATTGTGTTTCCTTTGTTTCCAGATCAGTTAGGCTAGGATACAGTGATCCACAGAAACTTCCAGTCATGAGCAGCTGTTGAAGCAACAATCAAGAAAAGCAGGGTGAACACATTTAGAGACTAAACTAACAATTTTGTCTTGAGTATTTTACCAGTTCAGCTTTAGTTTTATGAAAATAACAAATTACATACATATTAGTCCTTCAAATCCAAAACAACCAACACACTCATGCACATGCTAACTTTGGAGGACTAAAGCTAGATTGGCTTAACAATCTAGGGACCAAGTAGCTAGTTTAGTCATAATTTTTCTGGACACCAAGTGTTAATGTAAAGTAACTGCAGCAGCATGTCAAGGGAAATGATCAAACAGTACCCTTAGTTTTGCAGATGTTCGTTGGAACCATAGTTGCTGGGAGGGTTTAATCCAACCATAGCCAGGAATGGAAGGGGAAGTGGAGTAATCTCCGCTATCAAGAAAGTAGAGATTGAGAACTGATTTGTTTGCAAATTCAGTGCCCTCAACTCCTTCAACCTCCAAGTTATAGTTCCCAAAACCATCAATGATGTGTACTTCTGAAGGATTGAATTTTGAAAGAGTGTTCTTCATCCCCACAATGTGTTTCATCACCCCTTCCCTAGAGAGGGATCCTTCCTGATCATGGTTACCCAAAACAGCTACCCAAGGAATGTTCGATGCAATTGCTGGAGCAAATGCAGCATCCAATGATTTAGCCGAATCCGAGGAATCAAATCCAAAGATGTTATCCCCTGTGACAACAGAATGAACATGGACTTTGTATCAGATATTCAATCATCAAACAAACATATAACAAACTGGCTTTACAGGAGCAAACAAAAAAAAAAATCGTTTCATGTTTACCTAAATACTTTGTTTCTTTTATATACCAAGTACAATCAATATACTGATTTAACAAATCATATGGGATAAATAGATATCACTTTTCCACATGTACTAACTACTAAACTGGGTAAATGTGGATTCTTTCACAAGGATAATATATTAAATTTTGTTCTTTCTCTAGGATGTTGTTTCAAATTGCCCCAGTACGAGAACGTGTTTTAAGATTCATCTCTTCCATCAAACTATTGAATGATTGGGATTTCACTGTTACTGATACCATCTCTCACTATAAAGTATGAAAGGAAGGAGGATATTCTTAGAACCAGAAAAAGGATGCGACTGGGAAGCACAGGTACAGACGAGGATGACAGATGCAAAATATGCAGTGTTTCCATGAAAAATTCCAAGAATGTTGCTTCACAGGACAGAGAGAAAAGCGACATCAGAAGTTTATTACGAACTTTCTCAGTAGGAACAGAAGGGGGAAATCAAAACATGAGAGCTAAATACCAGTGAAAACGATGAGATTGGGCTTCTCGGCAAGGATCATTCTCTGAATAAAGGCAGTGGTATTAAGGTCGGAACAAGAAGCATTCTGAGAAGGAAGCACATCCAAGCAAAGGGTACTCTTGCCATCTGCATAGTGCATATCTGCCACCTGCAATATCTTGAATTCTCCATTATCACCGAACCTCAGCTTCTGCATCTCTCGTGGGTTCCCTTGTTTCGCCGCCAATACGCAAATCGGCAGCACACAAAAAGAGTACACTATCAGTGTCATCGCCATGGAATCAGAACCCAACTTCTTCCTTCTGGTGCTCTTGACATCAGAGCCGTTTCTACTATCGGAAACCATCTTGGTTAGGTGGTGAGAGTAAATGATGATGCTCAGAAAACCGTAAGAGAGATTTATTGAAGTCCGTAGGAGGTGGTAAGCTATCAGCTAGTTGATGTCGTACGGAAAGTAAGTAAGTAAAGAAAGCAATGAAAAGATATGAGAAAGGATATTCCCGGAGATGATTGAGTTGCTTACGCCTCACAATCAGAGACCAGCCCTGGATAGCTTCCAGCCTTCTACTACCCTCGTGAAGCACGATCAAGAAATTCAATTAAACAACCAAAAACAAAGGGAAATTTTAAAAAGAAATTTTAAAAAGTGATCTTCCCCCCCCCTTTAAAACTCTTGTAATGAATTCTTCTAAGATCATATAGTAACTATTTATGTGTTTACATTGAATATCATGGGTTGATTGATGAATTATTTTTGGCCAAGATGGATTGATTGATGATTGAAAGTGAAGGGCAGAGCTGAAGCGGATGAGACTAGTCACAACCAAACAGGCGACGATGCGACTGAATCATTCTCATTTTATTATTATTATTATTATTATTTTTGCCAAAATTTTCATTTTTCATATTAACTTTGTATGAATCCAACCATTTTCATTTTCGCCTTGCTTTGCTGTGCTTTGTCTGAAAGTGAGGCCCATCCATGCATGTGACACATTTCTTAATGTTTTCTCATTATGCCCACTTTTTTTTTTCTTTTTCTTTATTATAACCTACAATGTTCACCGGCATGAATCTCCGATCTTCATTACCAGACCATGGAACAACAATACAACAATTTTAAACAAATTGGGGTTCCGTCTCTGGCTTGAGGAGGTCAAACCTTTTTAAGGATCATTTATGCATTTCCATAACCTTGCGTTCACATCAAATTTAGGTAAGCTTTCAATTTAATTCTTTAATGTTATAAAATATATTTTTTAGTCCTTTAATCTTATACTGTTACTTTCAAGTAATTATTTTTTCTTGTACCAATTACTATTATTTTAAAAAAATTAAAATTAACATGTCATCATTTAAAAATATTTTGTTAATATTTAAAAGTTTCATAAAAAAATTTTGTGATTAAACTAACAATATAAAGATTAAATGATTTAAAATATATTTTATGAAATTAATAGATCAAAATAAAACCTTATATAAAATTAAAATATTAAAAATATACTTTAATATATCAAAATTTAAAATATGGTCGTGGAACAATAAGTCTCATAATTTTAACTCATGGAACTGAACTTTTAAATTTTATATTTATTTAGAAATATCTCTATATTAAAATTCTAAATTTAATTTTTTTCACAGTTTAAAATTTAAAGGATAAAGGAGTAAATTTATCCTTGAACTTTTTCTCCAAGGATGTCTAATATTCTAAACTTTTGTTTAGAGCAATGTTACCCCAGAATTGTAAAAAATGGTGTAATGTTGCCCTGCTGTTAGAGTTGACCATTTCTTAATCGTTTTGTTTGACTAGACTTGTCACGTGGTATTTTTTAAAAATTAAAAAATTGATAGAGGTATAAATTTACCTCGAAACTCTTCCTCTAAGAGTGGTTAATATCCTAAACTTTTTTTTAAGCAATGTTGTCCTGTTATAGACTTAACCGTTTTGTTTGACTTCACTTACCATGTGGCATTTTTTAAAAACTAAAAAAAAAAAAATAAAACAATGCTTCGTCCTCATCAGCTTATTTTTCTTATCCATAACACTAAAAATGTAAAATAACTCAGAACATTAAGATAAAAAATCAAACTCATATTTTCAATATCAAGAAACAATCATGAAAAGCAATCGAACCCAAATTTTAAATATAAAAAACAATCAAAGACAAGAGATAGAGAGGAAGAAAATAAAGAACATAACTTAGAAACCCAACAATTCAAGAATAGCTCAAAATATCTAAAAAAACAAGAACAAAAAATTGATAACTCAAATTGTCCAACGCCAAGTAGGGAGAAGTAACAACTCAATGGCGATGGCTATGGAGTTTCTCATTTAACTTTTGTCTTACAAATGCCGAGAGTTGAGAAGGGAGGAATGAAGACAAAAAGAATAGCTGACTGTGAAGAAGGGAGAGCGATGTGTAATTGAGACACAAGAGGAAGGGGACGGCATTTTTTTAGTTTTTTTTAATGCAACATGGCTATCACTTGGCAAGTGAAGTCAAACAAAATGATCAACTCTAATAGCAAGGCAACATTGCACCATTTTGAAGAGTTTTAGGAAAACATTGCTCCTAAAAAAAAGTTGAGGATATTAAGCACTCCAATAAAAAAAGTTTCAGGATAAATTTATACTTTTAACATTTTTTAATTTTTAAAAAATGTCAAGTGGCAAGTTCAGTCAAGCAAAACGGTCAACAAATGGTCACCTTTGACAGTAGAGTAACATCACACCATTTTTTAGAGTTCTGAGATAACATTACCTCTAATAAAAGTTTAAGATACCAGGTATCTTTAGAAAAAAAGTTTAACGATAAATTTGTATCTTTACACAAAATTTAAATGTTTAATTCTATAATTATTTAAAATGATTTAAAATATGAAAAATATCATGCATAGTCCAACCAATCATGCTTTTATATTGTCAGTTGTCACTGTTCTGTGTGTGACAATTTCTCTGCCTTTCAACATCCTGTGAGCAAAACGGTGAAAAACCATCTCTTAAGTAAATAAAAGTCAGCGGTACCAACCAGGTGACTTTGCTACCGGACTAGTCTCTCAATCAATGTTCAAATTTTTACTGAAAACTGAAAGATAAGTTTAGTTAAAAAAAAAACTACTCTCTCACATTTTGACAGATCAATATTCAAATTTTTATTAGAAGATATGTCAACAATAATTAATGTATCACGTTTATTACCTCTAAAAAAGACACCCATATACAATAAAAAAAAAAAATCAAAGCAAAACAACAGAACCACCCCACGATGAAACTTAGGATCGCACTGACACCTTTCTTTGTAGCATTCTTTAAGCTCTCTTTATGCAGTAGAATGACATGGACTGAATGCTATATATTTTAAAAGTGAATTTGTAAATTGAGAGCAAACACTTGATCTGAGATTCACATATCAAAACTAACTGAACAGGGTCTCCTCGATGAACCCCTATTAATTTCACATCTTTGTGTAAAACTTTTCACGAGAAACCAGCAGACATAGTTGGTTAATATAAGAAGAGGATTCTCTTTTGCCGAAGGGAGGCAAAATTTAACCTGCAATACCCGGATTCTTAATGCAGAAGCAAGTTGCCTAGCCTTTTTTTCTTTTCTTTTTTTTGTCTGATCATACTCTAATCAATACTTGAGATACTTTGAACCAAGCTGCATACATAAGACAAATAAGTCTTTAAGAATAGACACTGAATTAAAGAGGACCACATATGTAACTATCTCCATAACCACAATCCATCGTATCCGCTGTCACACCTCGAAAACTGTCATGCAGTTGATTGGTTACTAATAAATACTCTGTTGTTTCTTATTAATAGAATCAAGAGAACCCTCTCAAAATTCTCTTTAAAAACAAAAAACGGAGGGGTTTTGTTAGGGTTTGCTTGATTTCTGTTCCTATTTTTTATTTTTAAAAATTTTTTTATGATACAATTTTTGAAATTTATTGTTCAAAATAAAATAAAATAAAAATTTGTTTGGTTATATTAATTTAAAAACAATTTTAGAATTTAAAATATAGAATGATAGTATCAGTTATAGATAGTCAATAGTAGTGATTTATGATAGAAATTGATCAAAACAACTGTAATTTTCAATAATCAAATGTATTATATTTTAAAAATAGAAAAAAAAACTTAAAGTTATTTCAATTAAAAATGAAAATAATTTTGAAAACAATTTAATCAAAAACACCTGTCCAAACAAGTTTAAATTTTTTTTCAAAAATAAAACACAATTTTTAGAGACAGAAAACAAATAGAGCCCTTATATACTGATTGTTAGCACAATTTGGATTACTCAACAATACAAAATTTAATTGGATCGAGTCTTAGTTCAACACAAAGATTGAACGTTTATATTTAGTTTACTTTTTATCATGAGGAATGAGACATCAAGTTGTATCATGCCCATCTTCAGATGAGGAATTTAGCCCTTCGTAGAATTTAGATTCAAATTCTCTGCATTCACCATTTGATTGCACGCAGTTTAGTTGGGAGGAGATAGAGTGCAAAATAAATAAGAGAATGGGAGAAACTGAAGCTCGTGTTACTTTTTCTCTGTGTCATTCGTTCTCTTTAAATGCTTGGTTATAGAGAATATAAATTTGAGATTATGATCATGAAATAATATTGCTCCTATTAATTATTGATTCTTTTATTTATTTTTTCCATAAAATATTTATGTATGGCTTCAGGCCTCCATGAAAGAAGCCTAAAAGGGCCATCTAAAGAGTGAAAACATTTTCATGGGCAAAATACTGCTCTGCCAACATTCATCTTCATTAGGTAGCTCCTCAACTAAAATTTTGAACCTCAAAAACCAGATTCAAGATGAAATATTCTCTCTCTAAGATGCGAAAGCATTTATTATGAATAAAATATAGAGAGAAAAGAAATGAGAAGATGAGGAAGAAGAGGAGAAAGAATAGAGGCAATAGACATGAAGATAACCTCTCTTATATTCTCTTCAACATTTACAATTCAAATGATATATCCTATTTATAAGCATGGACTTATATCAAGAGTTACACAAATAATAATGGCAAATAAAAGCATAATCAACACTTATGATTATAGGAGTTTCATGAGAGGAAATGAAGATGAAGAGACAAGGAAAATGAACACCCACGTCATAATATTTATAATACTTCCCCTTGGATGTCAATTGTATAAAAGTGTGCCTCATTAAAAATTTCGACTAGGAAAAACCCTGCAGGACAAAAACCCGGTAAAAGAAAAGAGTGCATTTTTCATTTATACGCTATCCAATACTGCCTCGTTAAAAACCTTACTAAGAAAATCTAATGAGACAAAACCTTGATTAAGACAAAAAGAATGCAGCGTGTATTTACTCCTTTTGATGAAACATCACTTTTAAATTATTATACTTCAAGATAATATACTAATTTATCAAATGCAATTGTTGTCAATATTTTTCCAAATAGATCTTACTCTTGGTCAAACCATATGAAATGCATTGTCATATCTTGAGGATATAATACTTTTCTCATATTATCATATCTCTTTTTCAATATCTATTAGTTCATCAAGAACATAAATTTTGCTAAAAAAAATTGTATCATGTACAATATTAGCCAAATGTATAAATATTAATAAATATGATATTTCAGAACCAATCAATTTAGTATAGCCTCGCAAGCAAAATAAACATAATAAAATGATTTTACAACCATTGGTTATTAAATACTCAATCCACAAGTTGAACGTAAACTAGATATCAAAATTTTATTATTAAATTTTTTTGATCAAAACCTATTTTTAATACATATATGCAAAGACAATATACATACATACATACATATGCTTGAGTAATAATAATTCATACAAGTTTAACAACTTACACGTGTATATATGTTGAATAAATTTATCGAGCATGTTTCATGCTTCTGGCATTTTAACTCCTTTAAAGATCATCATGTAAAATGCTATAATAATATTCAATAGATGCTTCATATTTCAATTTCATATACTGACATGCTAATAATATATACAAAAATTCACTACAAGATAATATACTTAATTATCATTAGACTTTTGTGAAAATCTTTATTTTCACATAAATGTTCATTTATCCCATAATAACGTTACATTTCAAATATTTGGATTGCATGTCCGTGATTTTCACATATTAGAAATTAATATAATTATACTCATATTGCGTCCTTTCCTTTGCTTTTTTTTTGGTTTGGCCAATTATCTTTTGTCCGCTTTTCATGACAGATTTGTATATAAGATTCTTAGTTAATCACATGATATTATCATCAAAATTATTGTCAACAACTCTATCTTTTCAGTTTCATTTTTTCAACTGACATAACTTATTGAGATCTCTCTTTATTACTTTCAGGTACGTGAATCTCTTTTAAGATTTTACAATTAATTATGTCATGACCCTCTTATGGAGTGTTTGCCTCCTTGATATAATCATCTTAATTATATACTCCTCTTTTATCAAGATTTTGTATTAGGAATCAATTAATCTCTCATACTTCAGGCATGATTTATTATTATTTATTCTAATTAGAGCATTTTTAGCTGAAATATGAAATTTAGTAATTCTCATACAAGTCAATGACTGTATTTGGCAAATTCTTTTACAATATCAATATTTTAAAAATGCAACATTTGATAAATTCATGTTTCATATCTTTTATGTATGAGGATCTAAGTAAGACGTAATAACAATGCATTTCATATATATTTTTTTCAACTATTCATTTTCTTCCCATAATGTTAGGAAAACTTTGTCAAACGATGATAACCAGCTAATCATGCTGTCTAAGTCTCCTAAATCCATTTTTTTCTTTAGAAACATTTTTTTGTTTCATTCAAAGACAAACAAGAAGGAGGAGGTAAAAATTTTGTTCTCATAAATATTAATCTAGCTATTTGTAAAGGAGGCTTTAATGAATGATTTTACTATATCACATTTTAAATTATTTTTCAAAGTCTAAAGTATAAATTCACTAGCATTCCCAATTAAAATTGTCTAGATCACATAGTTTGAAAATTGTATGCTTTTATATAATGATTTATGTATATAATTTTGCAAACTTCATGTTGCAAAAATATTTTATAGATGCACTATTAAATTTATTGAATATTTATACTATTCACATGCTATCTAATGGACTCATATATTTGAATTTGTTATATTTTTAAAAAATGATAGATCCATACTCAATCATAATTAGTGAACACATCATATTTTTTTTTGAGAAAAAGCAGTACATATAAAACATTAAAGTATATAACATGTTTTCTATTCATGAAGAATCTTCAAGTTTTTTAATGATATTAGTGCATGTCCTCTATAACCATTTACATTATATATGTATTGGAATGATCAAACAAATTATGTTAACAATATATAGTGGATCAATAAACTTCTAGTTTATTGTAACAAAAAATCTAATATGAACCTTTCATTTCATTTTTGATAACATGTAATTGATTTATAATATCAATTTGCATCTAGGACCTATTAAATCTTGAGAGCAAATATATGAGCGGTATTCAATCACATATTAACTCACATTTGTGCTCTTACAATCTCTCCCTTGAATGGAAGTTACATAAACATAATTTTTTTATTGTTGCATTTCTAAGATATAATAAACCAATAGTCTACATTTCATTAAAAAATCCAAATGCTTCTCAACTCACACAAAACTATGGGTTTCAATTTTGATTGAGCTATTTATCCAAATCCTTCACTAATCAATCTCTTACATTGATATATTGATCAATTTTTCATCACTTATCATTTTCCAACTACAAAATGAAAGACATTCATTTTAGTTGTGTAAGAACTAATTTCTTCAAAATTGACATATTTCAACATAAATTAATTTATAAATTATAATATATTCAATATAATAAACTATAAATATAAATACAAGTTTACACATATTGCAATTATTTTTGATATTTTCTTTAAAATTACATCAAGATTAAATCAATATCAAATATTTATAATAATTACTCAAGAAATTAATTGCGATAAATTTAAACAATAATAACAATTAAACACCATTTAGATTTTAAACATAGTCTTCTAAACTTAAACATCATATATCCTTTTTAAGTTTAAATATCATATAACCTTTTGGGTTTTGTCATTATTTTTCCTTTCTCTCACAAAAATTTTTCCGTGCATTGTCTTAGATCACAACATGTGGCTTTCATCATTTTATAATTACCTTTTATATTCATTAATTTCTCATTGCCCTTTTGGCTTCATAACCAATTTGGACATTTCACATTTACTTTCAATGAATTGCCCATACATATTTGTCTATATGGCTTCTAACCATATTATAACATTCACTTATAATTTTTATTTCAAAGCCTATAAAAATATTATTTTTCAACAATTATGGCAAAACAATATCTTTTCAATAGTCGAGACAAAATATTATTAGCTTTTTAATTTTTATAATACCATGTTATCATAATCATTATCTTCCATTGAGATTTGTCTATGCTTTCAATAGCATATAATCAATTTCATTAAATATTAGTCTTCAAGACTATAACAATTTAAATTTATACAACTCTTTCATATTCTTTGTTGCTTGAATAATTAGCCTTTAGGACTATAATATTTTAACCATCAGATCATCAAAATACCATGAATTTTTTTTTTAATCATACCATCTATTCAAACCATAAAATGATCTTTTATAAGAAAATCATTATTAAAAATTGATGTAGATCTTTAGTCTTCAGGACTATGGTAATTTGTAACAACATATTATAATATTTAGTCCAATTTTTATTTCAATTAGTAAGGAAAAGTATTATTATCTCAACAACACAACAATGGCAATCCACCTTTTTCACTTCCAATATATATGATTAATCATTATTAACTTTCAATAGTCAATTTGCACACTATATATATGGTTATTACCTTGCTTGTAAGCAAGTTAAATTTGTTGATTTTTCATATTTGTTAATATTATATCAATTTCATCAAATATTGATCTTCAAACCTATAATAAAAATAATTTTTAAATCCATCAAAGCTTCTCATAATATGAAATATTTAAACTACTAGCCTTTTGATTTACATATTATTTATAGCCATCAAATAGCTAAATTGCCAATAAACCCAAAATGATCTTCTTCAAAATCAAAATCCATATGACTCCTGGTCATCTAATCATATGATAAAAGATATTAAGAATAATAATAATTTAATATTCTTTTTCAAGAACAATCAATTTATATCAAACTAACAGAATCATATCATTCATCAGAATGAATCTTAAAATCAATTATAAAACAAGACTATAGAAAATAAAATTTTGATACCCTAATATGATGAATATGAATCTCCAACCATCCATATACCTTATTTGAAATTGCAAGGTTATTAATTCCTCTAGACAAATTGGAAAGCTCCACCACACCATTTGGAACAAACTATCTCCATATGATGAACAATGATCAACAAGAAATTTCTAGGACAATATGTTAGACTCATCTAGTAGAGATTTGTGCTAATAACATGATATGAATAAAATATAGAGAGAATAGAAATGAGAAGATGAGGAGGAGGAGGAGGAGAAAGCATAGAGGCAATAGAAATAAGGATAACCTCTCTTGTATTCCCTTCCATATTTACAATACAAATGACATGCCCTATTTATAAGCATGGACTTATATTAAGGGTTACACAAACGATAATGGCAAATAAAGCATAATTAACACTCATGATGGTGAGAGTTTCATAGAAAGATGAAGAGACAAGGGAGATGGACATTCACATGATTCTTAATATTCATAATATCATGTAATTTATTCTACTAGATCCAATCATACGGTCTAACTAATGTTGGAGATGCACACAATTATAATGCAACAACTCTATGATCCATAAAGCTATCATCGTTACAACTCAGAACTTCCTCAAATCAGATAAACGACAGAGAACTACAGCAGACAAACTTCAAAAGACACCAAGACGGTACTTGTACAGTTATAACCAACAAACCAAAGATCAAGAGTCCTTATCTTTTTCTCCCAAAGCAGAGGACTTGAACCAAGGGACCCATACCGAAGTTTTCTTCTGATACAGCCTAAACGCTTCTGCTCTGTTAGCTTGCTTAACCATGCGGTCTTCAACAAGCGTAGTCACATAAGCCAAACACATGGTATTTACTAATGCCCCAACAAAGGCCCATCCTTGTCCCAGGTTCCAAGCAAAAAAACCTAGTCCCCACCACCATAGCTGCTCTCCAAAGTAATTCGGATGCCGGGAGTAATACCACAGACCACTGTCAAGCACAGGGACCACAGGTTTACCTAGCCCCTTCAGCTTGTCGTTGCTACTCACAAAGTCATAGAGCTGTGTATCAGCAAAGTAAGCTATGACAATGCCACATACACAGGCAACAATGGCTACCAAGTCCCAGATGCTCAGAGGCTGCTTCATCGTATGAACAACATAGAATGGAAGGGATAATGCAATTATAAAAACCTGCAAATGAGGAAGACACCAAGGAGAAAACACCCATTTAAATGATATAACGCTTGAAGCAAACAGCTATGAAGTATTGCTGTTTCACATAGGGTTTGGTGTCTAATTCATATCTGACCCTACGAAATACAACACAAATCTTCAGATTGTCTTTGAACTTGAAGATCATAATTTTTTTTTTTTTGTCCCGTATCTACTAGCGAGAAATCAAACAAATAAGTATGAAGCATTAATACAAGTCCTCCTCCTTCTCCTCCTTTTTTTGCGTCTCATGCTTAACAGATCATTTAAGAAAATTAATACATATTGAATACTCATATCAGATACGATGATGTGCTTAAAAAAATACATTTTAGCATGTTGTCTCGTATCTATGTTTGCAGTACAGGTGTTTTTTTTATCATAACAGGCAATTTATCAAACAGGTTAAGGGAGTTCTTTACTTCCCACTTGGCTTAACAACCAGAGGTGGAAAAGAAAGAAACCATGAAACGCTAACCTGCTGAGGGACGTAGACGGCGAAGAAAGAAGCCCACCACCAATGCTTTCCATACTGATGGCTCAAATTGGTGAAGCGCCAATCCTCTCTGGCACCCCATTGCCACTTTTCTCGCCTGAAGTAGTTATGGCTGAGCCTAATACTCCAAACCCAAGTCAACAAGATCGCGATCCTCGACCTCCACCAATTATATTCAGCCAAAGGATGAGTCGCGTAGTAATGAACAAGCATCACCGGTATCACTGTCCAATACGGGTCAATCATCTGTAACAATCACTGAAAACACGAGTCAATTTCCACACAGCCCATAAATAAAGCCAAAAACCTAATCCAAAGAAAACGCGTTACGCACCCAGTGGCTCGATTGGAGTAGGCCGATGATCCAGAAGAGGACATTGACGTTGAAGAAGAAGAGTACATTGGCCAATAACAGAGGATGATGATAGCACCAAGCCCAGAGAATGGGGACAGAATCGATGCGAATTGCATATTCATAGTTCTTAAGGAATGAAAGATAGAAAAGAATCGAGGGAAGAGGAACTAAGAATGCTATGAGAGCATTCTTAAGATTGCTATGACCAGCACTACCTACCATGGCGTCTTCACCTCACCGTGTCTTGCCCAGTGGCTTTGGATCATACGCTAAGGTAAAAATTTGAACTTTATAGATCTCGAAGAGAGAAAAAGCTTAACCAGCAATCATATATGCCAACAATAATCATTAGCATGGATCACTTTCTGCTTGCGGTTCCCACAAAAGAAGCCACGGCCATTTACATAGTGATAAAAGAGGATCCCTTTCCTTATGCCACACAATGATTAGGTGATTTTCCATGATCCCTCCTCAGTACTCTCCGTGGTCTTTGGACAAAAAATAAAAAGCTAGATTATCCCCTCCCATTATAATTATAATTATTATAATTATAATAAAATAATTATAATGTAATGTCTGAAAAGGCGAAAAAAAGTCATTCTTAGATGGATGCCCCTCAAGTTAAGTATTATCCATGGAGATCAAAAGTATTTCACTTCAAAATGGCAAAAACTAAGGGAGAATGACAAAATATCTTGAAATATACAAATAACAATTACTCCCTCCATCATCATGTGGAGTTAAATATTTAAAAATATAAGTCATTTTTAATTTTTTAAAAATAATTATTATTTTTTTAAAATGCCTTTATTAAAAGAATCACTTTATATTTATTATAAGATGTTTAATAAGAGTAAATATATAAATATACGATTAATTTAAAAGTAGGTAATTACTTTATTAAAGGATAAAATTCAGTTAAAAATACATTATATTTTTAAATGGAAGGAGTAAGTATCATGAAAAAATAATTTTAGTTGGACTATAAACTAATATGAAATAGAAAATAACTATCTTATTTTTGCAAATTTATCTATCAAATAATATTGATAATTTAATTATCTTTTACTGGTTTTAGTTATGAGCGACTTGCATAGAGTATGAGACTGCGGACACTACTCCAATGGAAGGCCCTTTGCCTTTTGATGAAAGCCACCTATTATCAAGCCCTCCAATTTATTTCTTCCTATGTGGTTTATAAGCCTTTGAAATTTGAGAGGGGGAAGCAATGAGATTCCTGGGCGCAATCAGCGCAGAGATAAGAAAGCAGAAACAGAGACACCCACGCCTGCTAGCAACAAGTGGAGGGACCAAGTGTCATCAAACAATTAATGTTGAACTTTTGAAGATTCTATACTATGAAGCAACATTAATGCGTGCTTAAACATAATGTTCCTATTCCTCTTTTTATTTTCCAGCATGCGTGGATCAGCATGCTTGGAATACCTTTTTCTGCGTTTGGCACGCCCAGTATTGCTCCTCCCAAACATCTATTATTCTACCATCATTCTGTCTAAAACATCGCGCCCCACGTACATATTTTAACCGGAATTGGACTGTGCATCGTAAAAAGCTTGGCCCTGCTTCCACTATCAAGACAAAATGCGATGGTATTATTCTTAAAGGTCTTGGAATTTGCTGGGTGGAAGGACTTAAACAAGTGGCTAAAGCTATTAAGAGTTAATGCCGCCACTCATCCATTGAGGAATTAGTTTGGAGACTTTAGGAGCTCAAGACTGAAATAAAATCTCGATCATGTTCTCCAAAAAGTTAATGAATGTGCTAATTGACTTGTAAAATATTTGCGTGTTCTATTAATCATTTTTTTCTTCAATTGAAATCAAACATATCCATGTGGATGTTTGGATATTTATAAGAAAATCTTCCTTTAAATTTATAATTGATTTAACATATATGATGAGTGCTTGAATATATTTAAGAAAATATAGTTTTGAATTTATAATTAATTTTTGACATATAACATAAGTGTTTGGATATATTTTCATAAAATTATAGTTTTATTTGATTTTCAATTTTGCTTTTAAATTCTATTTTTTTAATTATGTTTAAAATCAATCTTATCAATCAATTTTCTACCAAAAAAATCTTATTAATCATTTTCACAATTAAATTATATCACATAATATAACCAATTATATTTAAAATTGATCATATCAATTTTTCTTAGGCAAACAAAAAAATTCATATCAATTTTTCAAGGGATATCCAAACATACCCTTTTCTTTTCCATGAACATACTTTTTTATGGGGGAAAAAATCAAATTTGGTCAATTAGGAAAGGGTGAAAGCAGGCTAAGTTCATATTAGAGGTTTACAGGTTGGCCTACTTTAGATTAGGCCAAGCTTATTTACTAAAGGCTTAAGCATTTGATTGGGCCTATTTAGATAAATAGGCCATGTTTAATTTTGCAAGGCCTGGTGTATAAAGTCAATAATTCAAGCCAAGCATGATGAGCCAGCTTGAACCCGCCTAACAAAAGTTAAAGCTGGACTTAATTATATAGGTTTTTTAAGGAGATATGATACTTTAAAATAAGCTTAAATTGAGCTCGACCCTTAGAATTTTCAACTTTATGTGTATATAGAGAAGGTAATTTTGGCCAAGCTCAATGTGCCAGCCTGAATCCAGTTAAAAAAAGTTAGGGTCAAACCTGATTATATGAGCTTTTTTAAGATGATAAGATACTTTAAGCTCAATTCGAATAAGCTCAACCCAAATTGAGCCCGACTCACCTGACTCACTAGCTCTACTAGCTTATGAGCCTTATAAACCAGCCTATTTACACGTATATTATCATATACTCCTTTCGTTTAAAAATATAAAACATTTCTTGAAGGGTTTGATGTTAAAAAATATAAGGTATTTTTAGTATTTTAAGGTATAATCATTGTTTTTTTTAAAAAAAATGCTCCTAATGAATAAATCACTTTATATTTATTTTAGCGTGAAACACTTTATTAAATAAAGGTAAATATGAAAAGATAGTGTTAGTTGAAAAACAAGTAACTATTATATTGGAGATAAGATTCGATAAAAAAGCCTTATATTTTTTTAACAAAAAAAGTAATATATTAGATATATATATATATATATATAACGTAATATATAATATTTGATTTAGAAATTTGGATATAATTAACTTCACCTCCTTTCTTTAGCCCTTCTTGTTCTTTTTTTAGATCAAAACTTAAAAGCACTAGACGGTTCTCCCTTGCCTATGTTCTTTCTTATTATCTTTTGTATGATGAATTTATGATATACTTGTTTCACCATTTGATTTTTAATCAAAATGTTCGCTTTTCATTTCTACTTTCTTAAAAATTGGACTTAGCATGTATTATTTTAATTTGGTTACTATATTGTGGTTGATAAGTCTTCTTACTTATTATGTATTTTAGTTGGTAAATAATGTTGTACATATATAACTTTTTAATAATCCTACAGCTTATTTGAGACCTGGAAAGCTTATTATATAAGCCTTGAAATCTTAGAAGGCTTACTTTTAAGTGAGTTTTTAAGTAAACTTTTAAAGCAGGTTAAACTTTAGATAAAATCAAACATGAGTTGTAAAAAAAACCTCATATAAACTTCAAACTAAACTCAAGCTTTTAACCTATTACATAAACTTAAATCTATTAGGTTAAAGTCTAACTCCACCTAACTTATTTCCATACCTACTATTTGGAAGCAAGCTTGACTTTGATAATTAAACTGATGCTAGGCCTAAGGATGCTTTGAACTTAAATGCCATCATTCACATGAGTAAAAATGGTGAGACCGTTTGTTTAAAAAAAAAAGGTGAGACCATTAAATAGCAATTCAGCCCTTTATCAGAGTTATTAAAATGGACTGAACTGGCCGATCTAACTAGCTAAACTAGTTATAGGTTTGGTCCAATTACAATAAAAAATTGCTCATTCTACAAACTGGCCATGAACCAATCTTAAACCAATCAAAATTGGTAAAACTGGCAAGAAACCAGTTGAACCGAACATGTTACTTTTATTTTTTATTTGTAATACATATTTCTAAATTATAAGTTGTACATATTTATACCTAATAAGAATTATAAAATGAAAAAAATGCAAGAAATATGTACAAATTATGCATATATATATATATATATATTTTAAAGTTATAAATTATGAAAAATTATATATATTTTGGATGACAATGATGTAATATTGATAGATATTATCTTTTTTAATTATATATTATTATTTTTTGAAATTTAAATATTTATTTTTCTTACTATATATGATTATTTCTTTTACTTTAATTATGTAATCTTTAAAATATATCAATTTATTTATCATCAGTTGAATTATGGTTCAAATCATAGTTTGACCATTAAATTGTGATTCAGTATCTCGCCTGATTCAATAGTCGATCCGGTTTTCATAACATTGTCTTTTATTGATTAAAAGCAAAAATAGAAAGAAAAAAAAAAAGGCCCAAAGGCAAACTCTTTTGAGAACATTTGATTAAGTTAAGGCTATTATTATTATTAAAAAAAGTTAAGCCTATTATTTTCATGGATTATAAGTTAAATCCTTACAAACTAACCAGCATTTTGTTGATTACTACTACCCCTTTTATTATTATCTCAATTTATTTTTTGAAAGAAAAAAGAAGAAGAAGAAGAAGAACAAAATGAAAGAGATGCTTGGGCTTATTTATCACCAAGAATAATGAGTGTTCTGGATGGAAGCAATGAGAGTTGAGAGAGAGCATGACATCATTTTCGTAGGAGACTAAAATCAAGCTAAAATAGTTTTTTCTATAATTTTCCGATGATTCGTACTGCATTACGCATAGCTATGTATTATTGTTTATAATATAAATGTAAAAGCGATTTAGGAACTGAGCTTTGTATATTTAAATTGCTTTTATCCCATCAAATTAATGCAAGTATATTTTAATGTGTTAATAATAGGAAAAATTACTTTATGGTCTCTTGTAACGATTTCAATTATTAAAAGGTATCATAAAGTATATAAAATACTCTTAAATTTTAAATCTTATATAATTATAACTTGACAAAGAAAAATAATAACTTGAATATAATTTAATATCAAATAATCATTTTTTGTTAAATTGTTATTTTCTTTTGTTAAGTTGTAATTGTATATAATTTGAGACTTGGCAGCAATTTGTATGTTTTTTAAGACTTTAAGATAATTGAAATTCTTGTGTAAAACTTCTCAATAATTTTTCTCTAATGATATTAATAATAAGAGTTTGTTATAAATAAATAATTTATAAAGAATTTTCACATCTTGATTTAATCAGAAATAAATAATTGAAGTATATGCAAATGATGGCAAAAAGTAAGTTGAAATGAAGGATGATTTCATTGAAGCTTATAACTTGATTTTAAGAAACAACTATGCAAACCACTCTTTTTAGGATGTCA